GGGTAAAGTAGCAAAGGTATTAAGGTTTAGCGGATCGCGCAGGATAAAAAGAGAAGAAAACAGATGCTGGGCAGGAGTGCAGGATGAACTTTTCACCGCTGATAATTAAGCTCCATGAGGTTTGCTATTTGTTTGTAGATAAAGAACTTGTTTATAAGATGCTGGCTTGGTCAAGAATAAGGGTGTAACCAATCAAAGAGGTTGATGCGAGGGAGCAGAGGTCATGCATCTGTATAAATTATCTACAGTAAATAAAAAGTGAAGATTATGCAAAAAGTTTAACAGGAATTTTAAGGTGCAATTAAAGATTAAAAGAGGGTTTAAGGTCCGATAAGATTAACTTAAATTCAGAGCAAAATTAAAAGTCATTAGTGCAAATTTTGAAGAAATACTCAAATATGCAGGGCATTTACGGGGGTATAAATGTAGCGCAGTGAGACATATCCAGCCGGTGGTCTGCTGGATTTTGTCTTTTTCTGGTTGCATTTATACAGGTAAGATATTTTTATAGACTTGCGCGATTTTTGTAAGATGGTTAAAATGTTCAGATGGCTTAATGTATTTACGGGTTAATATATTTTATAATCTGATAGAAATGTTTCGTATTTATTATAAGACCAGGGGATTGTAAGAATTGTTCCCCTGTGTCTAAAAACCTCTCACAGGCAAAAAGCGCACAACGATCCCGGAGTCGAAAATCAATTTATTCAATGACCAGAGAAATTCCAAGACCAAAAACAATATATTCAAAATAAACGAGAATCACCGACAAAAACATATTTTTTTTATATGAAAAATTAATAATAAGGGACTAAAGTTTTAAAATATATCAAATAAATATGATTTTCCAAACAAACTACAATTATGTTAGCTTTTAAAAGCTTCCAATCTAAGATCAGATTTGAGCCAAAAATCCGTAAAAAGTGGTTTTCTCTCTTAGTAAACAATCAAAACTTTTTGTTTTTAAATCATATTGTATCTTTATGTGACAACTTTACCATATGTGAAAATAAGAAAAATTTAAATATAGGAAGCATATAAAAACAACTAAAATATCTTAAAATTTTAAGAAAAATAGAGAAAATTCGGATTAGCTAATATCCATTTTTGTTGAATTATTTATGTCAATTTGGTAATATCATCTTATAGATCCTATATGGTAATATTTCTTTGTGCAAAAAGAAAAACATTTAATTTATTGAAATAGAAGTAGGCATCGCATGATTGGGAACAGTAATTTTTTATTCTTAATGTCCACGGAAAAGGTACTGACCTTGACCTGACCTTGCCTCTAATATAAAACGGTCAAATTTAATCTAGCTGATACCATCACTTAATGATATTGTCTTCTTGATTCTGTGAAAATTTCATTGATTCTTAAATATAAGAAATAAGTGTTCTTATGAAAAGAATCCCTCCTTAACTATAGTTTTTTTTGTTAAGGACGCTGGATATAGCGGATCCTCGGATATCTCGAAGTTTTTCCTCTGTCCCATACAGTTTGAGATAACATGGTTTGACTGACATATAATTTAAAACACAGTTTATGTAAATTCCCATCCCATCCTACCCCCTAGCTAGATAAGGTGTAATGGTGAAATTTTGCATTATGGTTAAAAGAAATTTAGGAAGTATTGTCTGCTAATGGTGAAATTTTGCATTATGGTTAAAAGAAATTTAGGAAGTATTGTCTGCTGTTGGGTTTTCTCTATAATTTTAGATTTTTGACGGAGTTGTAAAATTCACTTAAAGAATTCCGTCGTGGCTTTCCATAGACATTACCTTGTCTACTGTGATTTTTTCTGTGTGTTCAATCTCCCTTGAAGAATTTTGACATGGCATTTCATTGACGTAGATTTTTTTTTCCACTTCGATATCTTCTGTTTCAGTTTGCGTCGAGCTATTCAACTGGTGCTATTATTAGCTGTACTGCTTAAAACGAACTCATTTACTGTGAAAGTGTATGCCGCTTTGAAAATTATATATGGGTGTGTTCCCCGAACGTCCACTGGACTAAACCAACATCTAATTATCACACTCAATTAAGGGGCCCTCTAAGGGGTACAGATAGGATCTACAATCATTTATGAACAAGCTTTACCTGTATTTATTGAAGGAGGAATTCTACAGCAACAATAATGTTTGGATCTTTAAGGCATCTCTTCTATAACATGGTTTCAGCATGGAAAGATTGATAAAAGATATTTATTGTTTTAACATGCTTTTTTTTTCAAGGGAAATGTAAAAATCTTGAAGATTTTATGCCTTAGTTTAAAAAATGCTAAAAATAATGTGTTTTATTTTCATAAATAATTTTTTAGCAAAATTAAAAAAAAAAGCTTATCTGATTTTTCTTGAATATTATAACAATAAATAATTTCAAAATCTTTGTTAGTTTGTATCATAAAACTCATGTATCACAATATACATGTAATTTATTTTGGTAAAAATCTATCAAGAAGCGTAAGATACGATTATTTGAAAAAAAAAAATCATTTTGAATTCCCCCCTCCCCAATGAAATTGGGTTTTGGACAATATTTTTAAAGGTAAGTTGTCAAAATTTTTTTGCCCCCCCCCTCCCCGACCTCTTTCAAAAACGATCAACGTGTTTGAATTTGATGTAAATAAAACGGTGCTAACTTTAGATATTGCTTCCAAACAAATAGGTAGCTATGTTTTTTTTTTCAATTGCTGGAATATTCGCCAGCGCTCGACCTTACAACAACATAGTGTAAGAGGTTGCAACATCTAAATGAAAATTTACATATAGACCTAGAGGAATAGACTATACTACAGGGAAAGTCTTTCCTCAGAAAAATGCCCCCCCCCCCCTTTCGTTCTATGGACCTGCAAATGCGATGTGAAAAAAGTTCTCCATGTTTAATATAGATTAAACAAAGCTTAACATGTTAACATTGGTGTAAGTGATGCTTCAAGTGCCAAGTGTTAGGTTAAAAAAAAATATGCTTGAAAATAATTCATAATAAAATATATATTACATATACATGTATATGGAAAAAAAAATATTTAGTGCCTTCAATTAAAGCAAGTATTTAATCAATAAATCTGTGCTTTAGTACACAGTTATATCAATAAATATTAAATTATTTGATTTTGACTACTTTGTTAAACCAAAGTAATACAGGTAAACTCTACCTGGACCCCTTAGAGGGCCTCTTAATTAAGTGTGATAATTAAATAGTTGTTTTAGCCAGTAGACGTTCGGGGAATAAACCTATATATGTAAGCCCTTGGCGACCCCTTTGCTGTTTTAAAATATGCCACGACCAACAATCCACCAATATTAAAATGATCGTATTTAATTTTTTTTTTTAGTTCTCTTTATATTAAAAAATTAATTCGTTACACAGGTATGACGATATAGCAAATTCAAGGATCCCTGGGGCTTCTTTATATCGAAGTTTTACAGTAACGTAATTAACCATGTTACCAAATCTATTTGTGCCAGGTTGCTGAAGAAAAAACATGTATTTTATTTTAGGGTTGACTCTAATTCTTGGCCAAATTATCCGCGTATAACCTGGCTTGGGTCAGTTTACGCTTTATAATCCGCGAAGCGGATTATAAAACAGCGTAAACTGACCCAAACCAGGTTATACACGAATAATTTGGCCAAGAATTAGAGTCATTCCTTTTAATTTAATTTTAAAATCATTAAATAAATATGGGTGTAAAATTTCGTTGCTTTTTATTAGTTCAAAATTGCCGCTCAATAATACAACCGTAGTAACGGAAGTACCGGAAGTGATGGGAAGCGAGGGGAGGTAAAAACTGATACATAGGCCTAGCAGCCTTGTTGTTTGTTTACATGTGGTAAAATCGAATTATTGTTTGGTACATTCATTAAATCTGGAATTTTCCATGAATACCGAGGACTGGAACTGAGAGGATTCTATGGATACAGATGATTCAGCAGGTTGTCAGGGGGGTGTGTCCCCATACAAAACCAGTGGCCTGTTCAACAGAGCGAACGTTCGCGAGCGCTCGCGAATATTTCTGTTGGAAAGATAAGGAATTTTGGCGAGCGCTCGCGAACGTTCGCTCTGTTGAACAGGCCTCTGCAGGTTATACAGAAATAATTTGTGTTCGTTTTTGGATATTAACCAATCAGAGGTTAGAATACAAACAAAATTAAATTATAAAGATATAAAGTCAATTTAAAGAGAGCATGTTTATGTAATAAAAGAAACAATTTACAATAATTTTTTTTAAAGTTCAACTTATTGTGAATTTTTAAAAAAAAAAAAAATTAATTTTACCTGGTAATTAGTTTTTAATAATTTGAATTTTTCTGAAGAACAAGGATAGTACGAAATAATAGAGCGTGCTGTGCATTACATAACCTGATTTATATTGAGCAAATGAGTTGTCGATAACCTTTTCTTTCAAGACACTACATATTTAAAGGATTAAATAATTGTGCTTTTTCTGCAAAGACCAAATCTTGAAAAGATTTTTTGTTCTTTGGGGCTTTTTCTAATTCCAAATGAAATTTTTATTTCGTCTTTTTTAACTGTTCTGTATTTTTCAATAAAAATGAAATGTGAAGATAAGGAACAGTTATCATGCTTAAAAATCCAATGAAATAATACAAATTGTGAGCAGAGCAATCACAGACTCATCAGAGATGAGATCAGGTGCCAGGAAGGTGTAAGGATTCCCCATGTCGGCCGGTCACACCCGTCGTGGTGTGCCCTGTATCATGATCGGATAAACGTAGAAATTCGGAGACAATTCAGAGTGAAAATATTGGCCTACGACTCGGTATAAATGACGTTGCCCCTCCCCCCCCCCCCCCCTACACATACACACACAATAAAGTGTTGCACGTGGAGCCAATGTTCCTGGAAATCTTCATAAAAAAGATTGTAGGAAATATTTAGCAAGCCAGAAAACTTTAACTCTTAGTATGGAACCCTCCAGCAGTCAGTTCACTCACAACTTTCGTGTCTTATTACTACATAACTAAGTGAAAAAATGATAGTATCTGGTAAGATTTAGCACTGATCATTGAGTGAATAAAATATTGAAAAGTCATTCTAGATCCGACATATCCTTAAAGTTGAGAGAACAGCAGATAATTCCAACCTTTAAAGAATACAACTGTACTAAATGAAAAAGATTATTTTATTTTTCTCGTCAATTCTCTTTCTATACTTATCTTTCTTAGTATGGATCTAGAGAATCACAAAACCTTGCTCTCATCAAAAATCAATGTCTGTTCCACCAATCAAAATAGTTAGCATTATGTATATAATGGGTTAAACGCATATTTTTTTTCATTCACTTTGTAGCATGTACAGCTGAACTCATGATTTGGCATTCAAATGGCTCTCCAACATTATTTTGCTCTACTTTTCTTGTTTCTTATCCATGGAATTAAGGTATTACATCTACATGCATCTGCAATTTCAGTGCATGGAAAACATTTCATATTTGTTGGTGATGTGTCGTATAACAATCAAAACTTCACAATATCGGAATTAGATATGATTTCCACAGTGTCCGAACTCCATTGTGCCGCCAAGTGTCTGAATAATAATCAGTGTTATTCAATAGAAATTTGTTCCACAGCCAATGGTGAGAAATGCCGACAAAGTAGAGGAAGGCTGCCAACCCTCTCTTCTGGATTTGGGCCTTACTGTCGGCGTTATCAGATAGTAAGAATAACAAATCTTTCCTTAAAAAAAAATCCTAACATTTTATTATAAATAATTTAAATAACAAAGCGAAATTTTGTAAGATATCTTGTTATACTTTAAAATTCAGTAATCACTCCTTATCTTAATTACAATGCATGATAAATTTTAACAGAAAAATTTGCGAAGATGAATTTTCATTTCTGATTATTAGAGTAGTTTATATTCTTGTATAGTACCGAAGTGTTCTGTCAATATGTTAATTGTCCTAAAAGCGATTAAAGAGTTCGATATATGAACACTTTAAACATAATGTTTAAAGTTATTAGTGTATTGATATCGTCATAAAATATTTGCTTGCTAGTATATATTTTGTTTGTTTAATGTCAAATCAAGAATTTTTCACTCACCACTTGAGTAGGATCAATTTTTAAACCGAGGCAGGCTACTGATAGATAAGTTGATGTTACATGGATCTCAACAACCAAGTTTAAAGTCAGCATTTCATAACTTCTATGGTTGTTTTAATAATCTTGGTAACAAATATAGCCTATCATTAGGTAATATTTTGACTGACAAATTTCAAACCAATTGCTAGGCCTCTGTATACTCTATTTGACTACGGATTATTTTTACCTGTCCATATCAATATAGTGGTCTAACCACGGGTGTGACCGGTCAACAGGGGATGCTTACTCCTGATCCCACATCTGGAATCCAGGGGTCTGTATTTATGTCATGTTTACAGATTTGTATAATTAGTAGTTTTTTTAAGATCGATCATTGTTTGCTATTTTCACCTATCTCATTACGTAAAAGCATCTCTATTCATAGCATTATTTAGATTTATATTTTGGCAGTGAGCAAGAATTTGTACAAAAGAGGTCATTTTAGGGGTTAAAATACTAATCCATCCAAAAGATATAAAATTTTTAATCGCCATTTTCTTGAGCATTAGCCTTAACATATACGAGGATACTGAAGAAAATGTTTTTTGTCGTTTACGATTAAAAGGAATATTTATCTTGAATATATTTTTTCCAAGATTGTAGCGTGGAAATCCCTTTTTATTGAATTTCTCTTTAATAGCGATTCTCTGTAACCACTTAAACTTCTTTGCCACGCATGGTCACCGATTTTGATGAAACTTTGCCCATTATTACAAATTGACACCAGAAACATATATATAAAAAAATTCGTTGCTATGTGTCTTGGTTGCCATGGTAACAGCCAGATAATTTGGAAAAATTTAGATTTTCAATTACTTTGAATCTTTATTAAGCCTTAATAAAGACTAAGAAAAACAAACAAACCATTATCACAAAAACATGACACCTTGTTGCCACTTATGCTATAAAGAAACTATTTAGAATTTATCTATAAGTAAGTGGTAACCATGGGTACATTTGGAATACATTTTAGATGCTGAAAAATGCTGAAAAAACGCTCAATATTCACTAATGATAGGTGTTATATGATCAAACTCAATCAACAAACTAAGAAAAACAATAAAAAAAATTGTTGTAATTAGGTATTGGCAATATTATTCTAAAAAATCTTTCATGGTTGCCATGGTAACACAGTGTAACCATGCAAAATCTGTAGCTAAGATTGGGTAAATGCTACTGTCTTGAGGAAAAACAGTAAAATTCATGACTGGCGCATATACATCCTTAGGATCTTGTAACACTGACAACATAAGAAAAATTGGGATTATTTGTTACTTTGCAATGTAACCATGGAAACAACGTACCTGTTGTTTAAAGTGATTTTTTTTTTTGCTGCCTCAGAAATTTATTTACCTTTTAATCAAGAAACATATTATTTGACTCTCCTTGAATAGTACTTATCTGGTAGAACTAAAGTTGAATATCATAAATCAATAAAGTTTGTTAAAAAAATACAACACTGTTGCTATGGTTACCAGGAAGGGAAAATGTTCGATTTTGTTAATTTTATATCAATATTAAACCCTATGTGCCAGCTTTTTGCATCCAGTTAGAGATTGGGTTGTAGTCAAAATTGAAAGTCAGGTTAGTTGTTCATAAATATCAATCATAAAAGTTTTGGGAATCTACATACAAGGGTACGTATCCAAGGAAACAGAATAATTTTTTCAAATTTTTATGCATATTTTTTTGCTAATTTTCATAGCAACGCTCTATTTAAATAATTGAATTGAATTTTTTGAAATGTGAAAATTAGGGTCACATCGACGCCTTTAAAAATTGATCATCAGTTATATAAAAATGTGCTTTTTAAAAATATAGGATAAGATAAAAACATAACCATTGCCAACCTGTATGAAATATCATATTTCGTTCTTGGTATATGTTACAAGGATCTTTTGTCTATTATTTGCTTGCATTTCAACCTACAATTGATTTTATTCTTAAGTGTATGACTTTATAAAATTAAATGAACAAAATTAATACTTTTGAATACTTTGTTTCCATAGTAACGTATGTAATAGTTGATTTACCAAACATGTTTATTGACAACATCTATTAATTTAAAAAATAGATGAGTTTATTGAAGAAAGACAACAGTGATGGTTTTACAAGCAAAGGGTGATAACTTGTACAACTAGCTTACTTAACGTCAGTCTTCGAGTAGGCGGGGAAAGGTAGTGTCATATAACGCGTTCTCAAACTAAATTTCCCTCTTTCTGATAACACACAGCCCTCGGGAAAGTTGATTTCATCACAAAAGAATTATAAAGAGAAGTAATTTAGACAAAAAATTTGAAGAGCTGTAAAAATGTTGAGAGCAAGAAAACAATCTGTGGCTGCTAGAGCGAAACTGAATGAAACCACAAAAGGTAAACGTGGTTTAAAGGAGAAAACCGAGGTCCCCGCCAAAAAGCCGAAGGTGGCCCAAGCAAAGGAAACACAGTCAGAGGAGAATGCTTCTTTGTCGGGTGAGGAAGTTTTACTAAATATACAAGAAACTGATTGTTCAGAAATGCCAAATCCATTAGTTAGCGTTAATGATTCCTTGGGTTACAATGTCTCAGAAAGTTTGAAACAAAAAATAATTGCAGGTCATTATGTTGATTTGGCACAGTTATTGACAAATACGAATTTAATAGACTCCCAGGAAAAAACTATTGTTTTCAAAAATGGGGAATTGGTCACTAAAGCAAAAAATGAAAAAAAGATAGATGATATAGCTAAGTGGACAGATGCGTTTATAATATACATGGGAGTCTACATAACTGCTCATCCTTCAAAGGCTACAGATTTATTAAAATATATGCAAACAGTTAGGACTGGGGCTATGAGACATGGAGGTCTGGGTTGGAAAAGTTATGATGAACAGTATCGACTTAAAAAGAGCAAGAATCCCACAAGTAGTTGGGGGGTAGTCGATTCCGAACTTTGGTTGCTTTGCATGCTTGGTAAAGAAACAGAAAACAGCCAGGTCTCAAGACCATCTGGCAGGCAAAGCATGTCATCTTCTAAATGTTACGACTACAATTTTAAGGGAAGCTGTTTTAAATTTCCGTGTACCTACAATCATATCTGCATTAAATGTAACGGAGCACACCCGTTTTATAGCTGTCCGATGAATAATTCTGGGAGTTTTCGTACCCAAATGCAAAACCAGCCTCAACAAAACCAAACAGGTGTATTTCCCAGGTTTCCCTACGCGCGATTCAACAGACCAAGTATTAGAGCAAACAATGTTAGATCAAATGGTCAACGATTTATGGGCCCTAGGCAAAACGCCAATTAAATCTGACGTTTTGGAGGAATTATTGATTGGGTATCCTAAAAAGAAAGTAGCAGTAGAATTATATGAAGGTTTTACTAAGGGTTTCAAAATACATTATACCGGTCCGCGATTTCATGTGTTTTCAAAAAATCTTCTTTCGGCTAATGATTACAAAGTAGAAATTAGGGAAAAAATAATGAAAGAAATTAAATTGGGAAGAATTATGGGTCCTTTTAAATATTTACCAATCTCAAATATGCGCATTTCCCCCATCGGGGGAGTACCAAAATCGGATGGCTCAATTAGACTGATAACACATTTATCATACCCTCAGAAAACAAGCGTTAATGATTTTATCAGCGATGAGTTTGCTTGTGTGAAATATTCTTCGTTTGATAAAGTAATAGATATGATTGCAGATTTGGGAAATGGGGCGCTTATTGGAAAAATGGACATTAAATCGGCATTTCGCCTTTTACCACTGAATCCGGGAGATTTTGATTTGTTTGGTTTTTATTTTGAAGATAATTACTTTGTAGACAAATGCCTACCTATGGGCTGTTCGGAAAGTTGTAATTTATTTGAAAAATTCTCCACGTTTTTGCACTGGAAAATTGCTAATATAACAGGATTAAAATCTTTAGATCATTATCTAGACGATTTCATTTTTGCGGGTAGGAATAATACAGATGATTGCAAAATCTTAATGAACAAATTTCAAAGAATGTGTTCAGACTTAGGTGTTCCAATTGCTCATGAAAAAACTATAGGACCGGTCCAGGTATTAACTTTCCTTGGGTTAGAAATAAATACTTTGCAAATGCAGGTAAAGGTGCCAAAAGAAAAACTCAATTCGCTGCGTGACGCGTTAGAATGTTTGTTAGGGAGGAAAAAAGTCACACTTAAGGAAATGCAATCTCTAGTAGGAGGTTTAAGTTTTGTGTGTAGAGCTGTACGCCCAGGTAGAGTTTACCTAAGAAGGTTTTATGATGCTATGTCAGGAATTCGGGCACAACATCATCATATCCGTATTACAGAAGAATTGTCAGACGACTTAAGAACGTGGTTAAAATTTTTGGTCAATTTTAATGGGACACTTTACTTTCCAGAAAGTTATTGGTCAAGTAATCATTCTCTAGAATTATATACAGATAGCGCAGGGTCATGTAAGTTGGGATGCGGGGCGTATTTTGTTGGAAAATGGGTGTACTTTGCCTGGCCAAGACATTTGCATTTTAAAAATATTATGAGGGATATAACATGTCTAGAATTAATACCGATTTTGCTGGCAATTACATTATGGG